TGCCATCTTGGTCGCGATCTGGAGCCATGTTGTGCGATCTCAGAGGTCACGTTCAGCCAGCTTGTTTTTTTTTATTTTTTTTTGTTTATTTATTTTTTTTTTTAAGAAAGAAAAAAAAAAAAAAAAAAAAAACTAGGGTGTCATCGTTGCGCTGTGCTGAGTTGGAGGTGTTATACGGCGCCGGGGAGGTGTTATACGGCCCCGGGGACGTGTTATACTGCCCCGGGGAGGTGTTATACGGCCCCGGGGGGGTGTTATACGGCCCCGGTGGGGTGTCATACGGCCCCGGACGGTGTAACAGTGATAACTGCACTGCGCATTGCGTTATGTCGAGCGCTCTTGTGCCATCTTGGTCGCGATCTGGAGCCATGTTGTGCGATCTCAGAGGTCACGTTCAGCCAGCTTGTTTTTTTTTATTTTTTTTTGTTTATTTATTTTTTTTTTTAAGAAAGAAAAAAAAAAAAAAAAAAAAAAAACTAGGGTGTCATCGTTGCGCTGTGCTGAGTTGAAGGCAACCGAGGAGGAGGAGGAGGAGGAGGAGGAGGAGGGGGAGGAGGGGGAGGAGGAGGAGGGGGAGGAGGAGGCGGAGGAGGAGGAGGGCCGGCCTCGCGGCCCTGGGGTCCAGTGCTCTCCCGGCACGCTTCTCCTCCGGGGAGGGTACCGCGTGGTCAGGTGGAAGCCGCAGATCGCCGCAGATCGTCTTGGCAGGGGTCGAGAGCTCCGGGGAGCGATCGAGAGATCCGGTGCGGGGTCGAGAGCCCCGGGATGGGCTCGAGCGTCCCGGGATGGGGTCGAGAGCTCCGGGGCGGGGAAGAGAGCCACTCATTTGCCGAGAACGGGGGCCTCGAAGCATCTTCCGGCCGCCGGAAGATGCCCCCTTCCCCGCCGGCGGGGAATTTGAGGCATCTTCCGGCCGCCGGAAGATCCCTCATTGCCCAGCGGCGGGGGGCTTGAAGCATCTTCCGGCGGCCGGAAGATGCCCCCTTGCCCGCCGGCGGGGAATTTGAGGCATCTTCCGGCCGGTGGAAGATCCCTCATTGCCCAGCGGCGGGGGGGCTTGAAGCATCTTCCGGCGGCCGGAAGATGCCCCCTTGCCCGCAGGCGGGAGGCTTGGGGCATCTTCCGGCCGCCGGAAGATCCCTCCTTGCCCAGCGGCGGGGGGCTTCAATCATCTTCCGGCGGCCAAGGGCCCACATCTTGAGGACCCGGTCCCGCGCAGGGTTTCTCGACACAACGTTGCCCCCTCGGACCGGCCAGCCTCCCCCCCCCCAGCCCCGCGCTTTCCAATGCACCCCTCCGTCCGCAGACGTTTGGGCTCCGAGGGCGCGGGTCGCGCCCGCGCTGCCCGTGCCGTGCGCGCGGCCACCGGCGCGCGCGTGGCCACCGGCGCGCGGCCGCCGGCGCGCGGCCACCAGCTGGGGGAGGGCAGCGATGTCTGCGTCCTATGCTGCGCGGTCCCAGCGGTGGTCACTCACCTTTGCTGGGCCAGGGCAGGCCGCCAAAGCGGCGGAGGCCTTGCGGATCGCCAACGACAAGCTCCGTTTCCTGTCACAAGGTTGTCCAGTTAGCGCCCAGGGCTCTGATGTTACCCTAGCCTGGCAGAAGGAGGTCAGAGGCAAGAGCGTCGTGGACTTCCTGTACAAGCGATGCCCTGGAGAGTTTGGCCATGGCGGCAAATGCTACCCGTGGACTTTCAAGACTGCTGCTTCGCGGAATCCAGTGCTTCAGGGCACGGGAAGCCCTGGGCTTGCGCCACCAGGCGCGATCTCAGCGGCCGATCGGGCCTCAGCGCAGGTACACGAAGGGAGTAGCTATGTCGCTCTGCCAAGCGAGTACTCGCTGGACGCCTCACAGTGGTACGCCGGCAATGGCCAAGGTGGCTTGGTTGCCCTTTCGCTTCTGGAAAAAGAGGGCTTTGTTGTGCTACGCAAATTCCTGCCGGAATACATGTACATGCCGGCCTTCAGGGATGCTGAGAATTATTTCTTGAAGGTCTTGCGCTCCTTCGCTGGTGGCCACGCCATTGACTCCATCGATGACGTGCGCAAATTGCACGGCAAGGTCTGGGAGAACAACGGTGGTGAGACATTCACCCCGTATGCGGTGGAGCAAAGCTGGGGTTGCAGGGCCAGTCGCGGCTACCAGAAGCAGCTGGGGATGGGCAAAGCTCTCTCAGAGAAGGTCTTCCAGGAGTATCCCAGTGTCATGGCGTGCCAGCATTACTTGCGCCAGTACGCGGCGCTTTTACACAAGTGCTTGCCCGAGGAGCTCTGTTGGAGGCCCGATGGTGTGTCGATTAAGGGGCGTGGCGCAGAGGCGGCCCCGCCACGCAGAGACTCTGGCGACCATGGTCGCTTCCAGTGCGTGCTGGCGTTGGCCCCGGGCGCATTCGACGTTTGGCCGAGGAGCCATGTCTTGGAGATGCGCGGGCACGACCACCACCACCTGTCTGCGGACGACATGGCGCACTTGCGATCGAACAGCCGCCAGTTGGTCTTCGCATGCGATCCCGGCGATGTGTTGATCTTCTTGGGCGGGTTGCGTTTCCATGGTTCGCCGCGTGTTGCCGCTGGCGACCCAAGTCCTCGGATCATGACTTACGCGACATTTTGGCCGCCGGACACGGCCAAGGGCGCCGATCACGCCGTAGGTCGATGCGCTTGCTGCTTGCCATACAAGCGGAAGCGCGTCGAGATGCATGCGTGATCGGCGGGGATGCTCGGCCTCGGGGCGCAAGGATGCTCCGGGCCGCCTGGGAGCGCGGCCACCGGCTGCAGACCAGCCCAGGCCAGCCGCCTGCCCTCGGCTGCCACGCAGGTGTGAGGCCTCCTGCCTCCTGCCTCCTGCCTCCTGCCTCCTCCTCCTGCCTCCTCCTGCCTCCTCCTCCTCCTCCCTCCTCCTCCTGCCTCCTCCTCCTCTTCCCCCCTCCTCCTCCTCCTCCTCTTCCTCCTCCCTGGGAGCGCCGCCGGCCGCCGCTCGGCCTGGGACCGGCCGCGCGCGTGCATGGCCGCTCGCCCCCGGCTCGTCGGCACTGCGGCCGCTCGCCCCCGGCTCGTCCACATACTGGAGCCCCCCTTCCTTGCCATTCTGCGCCCTGCCCGCGGCCCAACGGAAGCTCTTCTTCCCTTGGGGGGCGAGGGCTGGGTAATTATCCAGTGCTCTGGCGACGTATTTTAAATATTCTTTTAAAATCGGCGACAAGGTCGCCTTGCTTGTGTCAGGCACATACACTCATAGTGGAACAGCGTGGGCAACAATGCTGAATTGGAATCTCTCTGGTAGCGAAGCTTGCGCACTCAGCTGCTGGTCCCGTTGCTCTTTTTCCTTGCATTGCTGATGCTGGAACTGCTGCTCGTGTTGCTGGTTTTCGTGCTGCCGGTGCTGCTCTTGGTGGTCGTGCTCCTCTTGCTGCCGTCGTCGTCGTCGTTGTCGCCGCCGCCGCCGCCGTTGCCGCCGCCGCCGCTGCTCGCTGGGCCTCCGCCGCGTGGGGTTTTTTTTTCGAGACGAGCGTATTTCAGCGTTTCGGGCCCTTGGAGCCCCGCGGGACCTTCAAAAATCGTCCCAAGACGAACCGCAGGCCCAGGGGCAGTTCTCGGGACCTCCACGGGCCTCTGGGGACCCACCGCCGTCGCCGTCGTCGTCGTGGTCGTCGTCTTCGCCGCAGCCGTCGCAGCCGCCGCCGCCCCCTCGGCTTCCGGCGCGCGGGGGGGGCATTTTTTCGTCACGGAGGTTTTTCGGCCTTTCGGGCCTCCGGAGGCCTCGCGCAGGCCCAGCGGGACCTTCCCAAATCGACCCCAGACGGGAGATGGGCCCAGGGGGAGTTCCCGGGACTTCCAGGGACCCGCCGCCGTCGTCGTCGTCGTCGCCGCCGCCGCCGACGACGACGACGACGGCGGCGGCGGCGGCGACGACAGCGGCAGCGACGGCGACGACGACACGCCAGGGCCCCTTGGAATTTCCGGGAGTTTGTCGGGGGGTTCGGGGGGAGACGCCGGCGACGACGACGACGACGACGATGATGACGACGACGACGACGACGACGACGACGGCGGCGGCGGCGCCAGTGACGACGACGACGACGACGGCGGCGGCGGCGGCGGCGGCGACGCAGGTTTTCATCCGGGGTCGATTTCCGATGCTCCTGGGGCCCGAACGGCCTCCACAGGCCGAGTAATTCCAAGACCCCGCGAAAACAGCTCCTGGGGGGCCGAAAAAACTGCGTCCGGCCGTGGCAAAAGCAGAGCCCCCGAGAGGCAGGGAACCTCGCTGCCGCCGCCTCCGACCTCGCCGTCGTCGTCGTCGGTCGCCCCTTCGGTCGCGCCGCCAGCCAGGTGCCCGTGGTGAGCTGCGACTGAGTCCTGGGGCCTGGGGATCCAGGACTTTCTGGGGTCTGGTTCCTGTTGTCGGGTCCTGGGAGGTCCTTGGGGCTAGGTCCGGGTGCCGCGTCTGGGGGTCCCTGGTCCTGGGGGCCTATATTCTGGAGGGTCCCGGGGGCCGGCTCAGAGGGGACTAATGCGCGCGTCCGTCCGTCTGTGATTTTGCTGACCGTTTCGCTAGGGATACCCTCGAAATTCTGAAAACCGGCGGCACCCCTCACGCAGATCGTGAAAGAGAGGTCAAACAACACATAGGTTATCCAACATTTTCACATCAAACCTTCAAAAACCCTCCTAGGTACGAGGGACAGCTGCGGCACCCGATTCGATGCGTCCCCACGCCGTCCACGCGTGCGTCGCCGGACAGATTGAAGAAACGCTCTAGACCACCTACGCCCAGGGGGCTGGTGGGACTCCTCTATCTCCTCCTCCCTTCCATTTTGGTTCAAGGCTCAGGCCGCCCGCCTCCGCCGCCGGTTGCCGGTTCGTCCGAGGCTGGCGCGCGGAGGTGTCGTGCCCCCTGCAGCCGGTTGCCGGTTCGTCCGAGGCTGGCGCGCGGAGGTGTCGCGCCCCCTGCAGCCGGTTGCCGGTTCGTCCGAGGCCGGTGCAGGGGGGACCGCGCGCATGGTGTCGCGGGACACATTCAGGGCCGTGCTGGATCTCGGGTTGTGCCCGAAAGCTTGCCTCGAGAACATCAGCGAGTTCGGCCCAGTCCGAACGCTTTTCCAGCATGCCAGGGAACAGAAATGGACGACAACTCAGCTAGCAGGCACATTTCTCGTTGCCCGAGGCGTCCGCGGGCGCGAGGGCGTCGAGGTTGTCAGGAAGTACTGCGAGCAGTTTCCCCCAGACTGGGGGTCGCCTCTGTACGTCGAGCAGTTCGTGGAGCATTTTCAGCAGGCAGACGACGAGGCCGTGCGCATTTCTGGGAAGAAGAGCGCCTTGGCTCATCAGGAGCACAGGCACGCGTCTTTCTCAGGACGGCATTTCGTGGAGGGGCTCCCAGGTGACGCGGTCCAGCGCGATCTCTTCGGGCCGCGAGGCACGGCGGAGCGGCTCGCGCCGTTTTTCGGCGCGCCATCGGCATTAGACGCGGAGATGCCCATGCAGGTTTACCGCGAGCTCGTTGCCGTCCCGGTCCAGCTGGCGCCGCCCCGCCGGGATGGCGATGAGCCTAGCAGGGTTTCCGACAATTCTTACAATTCCATTGATTTTCTCCGTTGTTTCTCGAACATGACGAGCGTGTTCGACGCACCGCAAGCGCTTTTCTCGCAGAGGCTCTGGAACCAGATGCTGCGCTGCCAGGCGAAGCCGTCCGAGACCAGGAAGTTCTTGGCAGAGGCCGGCTTGGGCATGGATGTCGCGAACGAGATGATCCAGTCGTCCCCGATGAACTGGACGACGTTCCTGGTGTGCATCTGCGAGGTCCGGCAGGCGACGGCGCTGGGGCCCGAGTTCCTGCAAGCCGCGGAGGGCTTGCAACAGCGACGGGACGTGCAGTTCGCCCTGCCTGGCCTCGTGGAGGCGCGGAGCACCGCGAGTGCTACTGCGTCCGCCTCGTGCGTCGGGTGGCCGCCCTGCTGCGCCTCCCCGCGCCGGTTGCCGGTTCGTCCGAGGCCGGCGCGGGCGGGCCGGCTAGCGGCGGCACTCTGGCGGCCGCGGCTCCGATCTTGCCCGCGCGCAACGGCCTGCCCGCCGGATCGCCCGAGGCCTGCGCGGCGGGGCCCGCCAGCGGCCGCGCCCCGGCAGTCGCGGCAACGGCGATCTTTGCCCCGCGCTGCGGGCTGCTCAGCCGACGGCGCGCGGGGGCGACAGACGCGCAGGCGCGGCCGAGCCCGGCCCGGGGCGGGCGCTGCGAGGCAGGCGAGGGGCCCGAGGCCCGCGAGGCCGACGATAAGGTGAGGGAGCAAGTCCTGGCGGCCAGGGACCTCCTGTCAAGGTCAGCGCGGGCGCAGATGGCCATGCAGGACATGATCGACCGACCTGGCATGCCCAGGGCCCTGTTCGAGCCGATTCTCGCGCCCGCCATGGGCGACCAAGAGGGCGACCGACGAACGGCGCTGGCGGCGCTGACGGTGCTGGATGGAATTTCGTCCGATGGCGATGTGCTCAGGGCGCAGCAGCGCCGGCTGCTGGGGAGGCCCGCGAACGCAGCAGCTGCGAGCTCCGCGCTGGGACAGCCGCCCGCCATTAAGCAGGGGCTCCCCGAGCCTGGGCCCGTCGCCCAGGGCCAGGCGTCCGCTGCGCAGGGGCCAGCACCCGCGGTGAAGCAATAATGCCCGTCGCCGGAGCCAGCCGCGCGGGGCAGGCGCCGGCGGCGAAGCAGGAGCAGGGGGGCGCGGGGGGAGGCGCTGGCGGCGAAGCAGGAGCAGTGCACGGCGTTGCCTGTGAAGCAGGAGCAGCCGCCAGCTCGCCGGCGTCGCGGATGGCACGCGGGCCAGCGCGAGAGGCCGCGAGGCTACGCCCCGGAACGTTTCCGGGGGCTCCGTCAGGACAAGGCGGAGCGCGCCGCAAGCAGGGGCGGCCAATGCCGGGCGTGCAAGCGCTGCTGTCGGGCCCGCCTCGTGCCGGCCGCGGCCATCAAGTGCGCCAGGGCCCGCCCAGAGCAGCAGCGCTGCGGTTTCCCTGCGAGGTCTGGCCCGTTCAAGTGCAACGCGGTCTGGACACTGTCCAGTTGGGCGCGCATGGAGAGCGTGAGCCCAGGCGCCGTGGAGTCGCGGAACTCTCTGGTGCAGGAGGCGTACACGTCGGCCATGGAACAGGTGCCCGCCCCGCAGTCCAAGCGCGAATGGGTTGCATTCTGGGCGACCCACAGGGAGAAGCTGCGCTTGGGGAGATGCGAGCGGGAGTGGGTCTAGCGATTCTTTTCCGCCCAGAGCTCCCCGCGCCGCCAGCGCGCTCGTGCTCTACGCGGCGCCCCCGGCAGCCAGTTGCCGGTTCGTCCGAGGCTGATCTGCCATGGGAGCGCGCGCGCACGCTGGCCCCGTCGCCCGGCTTTTCAGCGCGACGCCCCCGGCCGCCAGTTGCCGGTTCGTCCGAGGCTGGTCGTCTGCCAGGGGCGCGCGCGCGCACGCGCCGGCCCGGTTGATTGCCGACCCGCGCGCGGGCCCAGCCCGGCTCGGCCGGGGGAGGAGGAGGGGGGGGAGGAGGAGGAGGAGGAGGAGGAGGAGGAGGAGGAGGAGGAGGAGGAGGAGGCGGAGGAGGAGGAGGGGGAGGAGGAGGAGGAGGAGCCTGACCTCTTTCTAGCTTGTTGCCTGGCCCTGGGGCTCCCGTCTCCGGCCCGGGGCCCCGGCCCGGCCCCGCGTGTCCCGCCCTGGCCAGTTGCTTGCGCGTTTGCCCGCCGCTCTTGGCCCTGGCCCGGGCCCCGCGGCCCCGCCTTGGGTTGGCGTTTCTCAAGCGTCCCTTAGGGCACGCCTGGCCCCGGTCTCGCACCCCCGGCCTGGCTCGCCTAAGGTGCGCCTGCGCTTGCCCCTTGCCCCGCGCCCCGTTTCGCCTCCCCCGCCCCGCGGCCCCCGCTCTGGGCTTTATCTCGGGCGCCGCGGCCGACTTCCAGAACGGCGCCCCTGGCAGCCAGTTGCTGGTCCGTCCGAGGCTGATTTGCCGGGGGCGCGCGCGCGCCTGCCCAGTTACTCCGCCGAGGCCCGGCGCGGGCCCGGCGCGGGGGAGGGCAGGGAATAATATTTGTCCTTTTTCCTCCTTCCACCCCCCCTCCTCCACGTCGTCGTCGTCGTCCTCCTCCTCCTCCTCCTCCTCCTTCTCCTCCTCCTCCTCCCCCCCCTTCCTTCTGTTCCTCGTGCTCCTCGTCTTCCTCCTCCTCCTCCTCCTCCTCCTCCTCCTCCTTCTCCTCCCCGTCCTCATCCTCCTCCTCCGCCGCCTCCTCCTCCTCCACCTCCCCCACATATTATTACTCCTCCCCCCCCTCCTCCGGATCGAGCTCTGGCGGGCCCGACAGCAGCTCCCCGTTCTCGGCCTCCGGGGGCCGCTTTCGGGCCCCGCCCGCGGGGCCGGGGGGGCACCGGGGGGGCATCATCATCATCCCCATCATCCCCATCACCAGGGCGGGGCTGCCCGACGCCGGGCATCCCAGGTCCCGGGGAGGGGAGGGCTCGGCCCCGCCGCCGCCGCCAGCCTCGCCGCCGCCGCCGCCAGCCAAGGACCGAGGGGGACCGAGGGGCGTCGGGGCCGCCTGACGTCGCGGCGGCGACTGCGGCGGCGGCAGCGGCGACGACGGCAGCGACGGCGACGGCGGGAACGGCGAGGAGGAACAACCCTGGGACCGCTGGGGATTCGATCTGGGGTGAAAAACTGCGTCGGATGGACCCCGGAAGGGGTCAGGGGATTGATTTTGAGCGTCTTCGCCGTCGCCGCCACCGTCGCCGTCGCCGTCGCCGCCACCGCCGCCGCCGCCGCCACCGCCGCCACCGCCACCGCCGCCACGACGACGACGACGACGACGACGACGACGACGACGACGACGACGACGACGACGACGACGACGACGACGACGGACGACGGACGACCGACGACCGACGACCGACGACCGACGACCGACGACCGACGACCGACGACCGACGACCGACAACCGACGACCGACGACCGACGACCGACGACCGACGACGACGACGACGAGGGGTCTGGACGAGGGGCGGGCCCCGAGGGGAGTCGGGGCCCCGAGGGGAGGTCGGGGAGCTGAGGGGAATGCGATTCCGATTTCGATTTCGATTCCGGCGCAACGTTTTCGATTCCGGTTCCGGTCCGAAGGCCGAGAGGATTCCGATTCCGGTCCGATCCGGCGCAAGTTTTTTCGATTCCTTCCGATCCGAAGTTTGGCCGATCCGATTCCGAGTTTCCGACTCGATTGCAGCTGACGCTGCCGGAGGGGGCCCGGGGATCCAGGTCCCCGGAGAGGGTCGGGGCGAGGGCCTGGCCCCCGGAAGAGGGGCCGAGGCTCGACGTTTTCTGGCCCTCGCGGGGCCCGCGTCATCTATGCGGGCAAAGCCAGCTCCCCCCTGGAGCATGTCCGAGGACCCGTTTCGGATGGCAGTCGTCTTCGTCGTGGTCGTCGTGGTCGTCGTCGCCGCGTCCGCCGTGGTCGTCGCCGCCGCCGCCACCGCCGTCGTCGTCGTCCTTCGGCTGGGCCGGCCCGCGCGGCTCGGCTCGGCCGGGCGCGCAGGAGGAGGAGCAGGAAGAGGAGGAGGAAGAGGAGGAGGATGAGGAAAAGAGGAGGAGAAGGAAACGGATGAGGAAAAGAAGAGGATGAGGGAAAGAGGAGGACGAGGAAAAGAGGAGGAGGAAAAGGAGGAGGATGAGGAAAAGAGGAGGAGGCCCCGCGGTCCCGCCGTGGGTTGCCGTTCCTCAAGCGTCCCTTAGGGTAAGCCAGACCTCGGCCCCGCGCCGCCTGCCCGGTCTCGCGCCCCCGGCCTGGCCCCGCGGCCCACCTCGCCCCCGCCGGCGGGCGCCGTGGCAGGCGTACTTTTAGCGCCGCCTAAGGTATGCCTGCGCTTGCCCCCTTCGGCTTGGCCCCGCGCCCCGCTTCGCCCCCCCCCCGGCCACGCGGCCCCCGTTCCAGTTCGCACCAGTTCGCGCCCGTCCGGGTCGAGGGATTCGGAAATTGATATTGTGTGCTCGGCGGATGCCAAGCGGTGGTAAACGCAAACCCCCAGGAGAGATTGATCTTTCGCCGCGATGGAATGAGCCTTGAGGAAGGGCGTCCTGAGGCCCTTCTCGCCGTCGTCAGCCTCCAGAGACTTTTCCCAGGCCCTGGGGCCGTCAAGGAACGACTCAGGATGAAAACTTGGCCCTCCGGACCCCCCTCCGTCGTGCCAGCAAAAGAGAGAGACAGAAAGAGAGAGAGAGAGAGAGAGAGAGAGATCGGACAAGTAGGCGGACCAGGGTCCGTCCGCGAGGCGCACTGCGGTGCGACAACTCGCCAAACACTATTTGCGGCGGTGCAGCCTTGAGATACGAGGGCGGGCAACAAACCCCCTCCCCCGGCGCAATGCGACAGACGCTACAGACGGCGGACAGACGGTGAAGATCTCACGTGTCAGACCGCGTGACGAAGAAGGCCCCAACAAGAAAGGCGACGTGCTGACACGTGGCTAGGCGGCTTGGCAGACCGCCAGTTGGGCGCTTGGCCGCAACGCGGCGCGCAGGGACGGGGCACCCCCCGCCCCCACGCCCTGACACCGTGGACGCGGGGCCACGCGTACACACGGGCAGGCAGAAAGGAGGAGATTAGCGCGGGGCACCAGGCGGAGCGCCGCGGAGCGATGACAGCATAGCTTGGAGGGTGAGTGGCGGCGCAGCACCATCGGGCGAGGGCGTAAGCAGCTCGGCGAAGGCACGCCCGGCGCGGTGGAGGCGCTGGAGCAGAGGGCCTTGACGGGCTTGAGCAGCGGCAAGGTCGGCGGCGAGAGCAGCACACCTCTGCTGCAGAGCGGCCATAGACTGGGACAGCTCGGTTTCGCGGTCGGTGAGGGGCGGCTGCTCAGTGCCTGCGGCCGGGGGCCTCGTGGCAGGGACGAGGTCATCGGTGCGCCTGGCCAGGTGGTGGACCAGCGCGGCGCGGCGAACCGTGTGCTGGCGGCCGTCGCCCTTGAGAGGCGACTGGAGGGTAACGCGCGGTCCCAGGGCTGGAGCCGCTAGGGCCACGCCCCGTGAGGACGGAAGAGCCGCGTCCTCGCACCCAGCAACAGTGAAAGCGTGGACGGGGTGCGACGGCCTGACTGGCTCGGTGCCCTGCGGGGGGGCTAGAGCCGCCCCCGCGGGCTGGCGCTGGTGGGGGGACGGGGTGGGTGGCACGGTGGGACCAATCATGATGCCGTGCGGGGGCTCGGAGGTCGGCCGCGTGGTCGGGTGGCGTCTCGATGGAGCGGCATCGTCGGCAGCGTGGGGTGTCGGCGGGGCGTCGTCTATGCTGCCACTCAATCCGAGGGGATCATAAAGGTCCTCCTCGGCGTCTTGGCGGTGAGCGACATCATCATGTGGGTGCGATGTCGCTCTCGGTGGCGGAGTCGCGGTGGGCGTCGAGAGGTTGCCCGAAGGGGCAGGGTTGGCGCTGGCTGGGCCGTCGTCCAAGAAGTCCAACCCCCCGCCGAATCCGAACGGGTCGTCCTCCTGTTCATCGAGCATCGCCCGTTGGGCCTCGGCCCAGAGCTCATCCGGGTCTTGCGGGATGAATGGTCCAGCCGCGGGTGGTGCCTGGTCCGACAGCAGGGGGTTCGGTTCCATTTTGCTGAGTTCCGCTGCTGTAAACCCAGCCCTGCGGTGTGGGAGCGGCAGAGTACGGTGTCTGCGCTCGTAGATAGCGACAGCGACCCCATGAAGCACGGTCGCTTGGCGATGTCGTGTTTTGGCAGCTTCAACAATGTCGTCAGGAAGGTTGTGCGTGCGTGCCGCCGCTGTGGCAAGGGCGTCGGCCTGACGGTTGAACTCCTCCGCGATGGGCCCGATGAGCCCAAGGTCGATGCCCAGGTCTCCCAGGTGGCTGGCGATTTTTTCGACGCGAAACATGTTGGGCTTGGCCATAACACATCGGTGGATCTTTTCCCAGAGCTCCGCGTGCGTGCCCTGCGGCGCTGGATGTCCGTCGATGATGCTTTGGAACCCATCGACCACCGCCTGGTTGTCCACGAAAACGTGCACGGGCCGTTCGGCACATGCCGTAAGGTGGACAATGGCGAGGGTCTCCGCAACCTGGGCGTTCTGCGTTAGGCCGTGAACGCGTGCACTGTAGTTCATGCGGTGGTCGATGCCGTAGTAGACGCCGTAGCCCGCTCGTGCTAGCAATGGGATGGCTTGGTTGGTGCACGCACCGTCCGTGGCAGCGTAGACCCATGTCCAACCAGTGTCGTAG